TAATATCTAAAAAGAATGGGACGTGGCTAAAGTAAATAAGGAGTATACCTTCTATGGATTTCACTTAAAAGCGTTGACCTCAATAAATATAAAAAATAAAAATATAAAATTCATGCAAGGATTCAGACAAGGATTTTCGAAACACAATGACCAATGTCGAGAAGAACGAGTGGGTTTCATTTAAAGAAGTAATTGATAAGTTTCTGGGGAAGTCGAAGGACGAAAACTAGGAACGTATTGTTCAAAATGTCGTCTAGGTTGTAATATGATACATATATATATATATATATATATATATATATATATATATATATATATATATATATATATATATATATATATATATATATATATATATATATATATATATATATATATATATATATATATATATATATATATATATATATATATATATATATAGAAATATGTTTGCTGCAATCCATTTTCTTAATTTATTTATTTATAAATTATTTACTTAACGAGCAAAATAGTTAATAGTTAATTAATTAATATTTCCGTTATTTGCTTCGCTCTTTCTTCTTTCTTAATTAATATTTCCGTTATTTGCTTCGCTGTTTCTTCTTTCTCTCCAACAAAATTACGACAAAAAAATATGGAAAATTATGCAGAAATTGCCCAAATCCTCCGAAAAAAAAACATGGTTTGGTCCAGAACTCAAGAGTCACTCGCTCTAACATGTTGGTAATATTTATTTCGAGTGTATACAACGTGTCGGTATCTACATTATACGCAAACGAAGACTGGGTCCCATCTCAACGTCCCTCAATAGTAGTGCCAACGGCCTTCGCGAAATATGTTGTGAAACCATCCCTCGTTATTCCAGCCGCTACGCTGAAAGGCGTCGCTGGGGACTGCGGGGGCGGCACCGGAAGCGATATCGACAAATTGGGCACCCGCCCATGCAACCGACCACACCATCAGCACTGCGAACGCGAAAAATATACAAATCGACGAGTTCATTTGCCGTCGAAACATCGTACTCTTACGACCACTGAAACCGTTCACCAGGTATCCGCCTGGGTATTTATAGGTCGGTGAATGGGCCGCGTTTGTTCCGTAGTGATTGTTCGCAAGTCATACGGTTGCGTAATATTAATTAAAAAAAAACTGCTGCTACCGCCGCGTGGAAAATTTTTCCAGTCGTCTAGACGCCAACTTATTAAACTAAATTGTAAATTGTATGGGAGTACGTATATCGTCTTGGCTTTTGACTATCGAATTAACCTACTACCGACGGCAATAAAACACCCGACCGGTCCGTATTCTAAAACTGAGAATCCGTTTTATTCAGCTTAAAATTGTTGTTATACTTTGACCAGAAATATAGTGCTTTTACAACTTTGCCTACTGTTCATTACTCCAAAACCTCAGCCCCTTATAGAAGATCCTGCCTAGCAGACCCTTACTCGTAAGCATTCCAGGACCGTCCTAGGAATTTATTAACCTAAACTCACAAGCGGGTTATAAGTATGTTTTCAATCTTTTTCGCTGAGCAATTCTTGAAACATGTACATAAAAAAATTAGTACAATTTATTACGATCTATTTCATTTCATTCATGTATAGAATCATTATTAATATACAAAACATTAAATATAATAATAATAAAGTAAGTCACTTAAAAAATCGTCACTATCGCTACTGTCGTCTCCTAGTTCAATGATCAACTCCTTCAAAAAATGTTTAATTGAAAAACACTAATAAACATTTATCTGTATTTTTATTTACCGCGTCTTTTGTTCTTTATAAATCGAAGAAGAAGAAGATAAAGACACGGTGTTGTCGAAACAATTGTCACGTCATAATATATAATTTCGTGAAAATCTGAACTTTTAGTTCTTGTTTATTTTGATAAATGGATTTTCATCAAGTAAAAGCCACCTCAGTTCAATTTTTAAACTATCCAGTGAAAACGGCCTGGCAGGGTCAAAGGTCTAGTATCAGGTACATAATATATAATTTCGTGAAAATCTGAACTTTTAGTTCTTGTTTATTTTGATAAATGGATTTTCATCAAGTAAAAGCCACCTCAGTTCAATTTTTAAACTATCCAGTGAAAACGGCCTGGCAGGGTCAAAGGTCTAGAATCAGGTACATAAATACGTACTTACTTGAAGGATCATAATCAAACACCTCCGTAATATATACGATCATATTGCAATTTAGATTAAACTCTTTGAGAACGATACATATCACCCGATGTTAAAATAAACGCGTTTCAAATAAAAAATTCAAGTTTCTACAAATATTTGTTATGGTCCATGGCAGAATAAACATCTGTTGGGATGGGTTTTACCACGGTCCAGCGAAGGTCTGCTGTTAACGTACTGTAAAGTACTTCAAAGCAATAAACGCACTACATTTTTGGTCGTATTATACCGGTCTGATGTAATTGGTAATTTGCAATATTAGATGGTGAGCCTTGTGCTTGTTTGTGTATATTTGTGTCGCACGGTTCATCTGTTTTCCTTATTCAGGAGGTCGGATGGGCCTGAATGGGTCGCAACGGAAGCGAGGGATGTGATCGTTTTCTTTTCTTTTCTTTTTTTTTGGAATCGGTCAAAGTTCAAGTTGGGACCAGTTTGTGATATCAAGTCGTGGTATATGTGTCGGTCTGCGATCAAAATAGAAAAAATCCTAGACAGATGTCGGCAATAGGCGAACATCCAGTGTAGAAGGAGCTTTTAATCTACTACTAACAGAAAATACGATGACACTAAATACATATACAAAATAATTACAGTTTTATTCAAATTCTAATTCTGATTCATTCTCACAGTTGTCATTAACTCCATTCACAAAAGTTTCATATACAGGCTAATAAAAGGGCTTAATCTAGAGAACTTTGAAGAAGACCTTCAGAGTGAGAGTGAAAAAAATTGCACTTTTCAGTGACTCTGTACTGTTTGTATTTGTCAAGAATGCACCCTTCAAAAAGTTTTCCCAACAGAATAACTACTGTAAGTGTAGCACATAGCTGATAATATAAAACTATTATATAAACAACGAAAGAAAAAATTCAAACAATCCATTATAATTACTTATTAGGAACTACGCAATGACGGCAGTTAGGAAAGAAATGAAATATTTGCAAACGAAATTTCAAAAAGTCCATTTCTAGAGAGGGGCGGAGTGAAATAGGTCTGTTAAGTTTAATTCTTTGGATTCTGTTAGTATTCTGCCTTATACTCTCTAATTCTCTCTAATATTCTGGAAAAAAGAATGGACAAGCAAATAAAAGCATTTCTCAATATTTACAATATTTTGACATCAAAACAATAAATAAATAACAAAATTACTGCCTTGGTTTTACTTACCATTGAGATGATAAATCGTGAAATTAGTGAACTATCTTGTAAAATCCATTTTAAATGACAAAAAGTACTACTCTGTTTCGGCTTTTTGTAGCAGTTGTAAAAGTTTAGGATCTAGTCTTTCCGATACTTAAGTATTATCATAGTTTAAGCATTGTAGCATCGCATACACATCGCATCGTACACGCTCCTTAAAATACGTAAAACCGCTTACCTCGGACACATCATGCGCCACCAAGAGCACGAACAGCTTCAGCTGATATTGGAAGGGAAGATAGAGGGTAGACGGAACATAGGCCGAAAGAAGAAATCATGGCTGAGAAATATCCGGGACTGGACCCACACAGATGGAAATGCCCTCATACATCAAGCCCAGAACAGAGAAATGTATGCCACAATGGTCGCCAACCTCAGCAGAGACGGCACTTAGGAGGAGGAGGGAGCATCGCATTCATGCCTTGCCGTATTCAAAAAATTGGAAACTCCTATCTTAAACTGGTGTATGGAGTTAGACCTTGAACTCAAATGTACAACAAAATAAGATTTTGGAGCATGTCCACAATTTGATTCTTCGTAGACAGAAAAGAACATTTCAAGAGGTTCTTCTGATACCAAATTGAAAATATGGTTAATCAATGCCTCCTACCTAATGAAACCTTTAATTTCCTCTCTCCGGCAGTGACAGAGAGAGGCTTTCTTAGCCCTTTGCTGCCAGAGCTAATCCCATTCCATTCAGTAAGACTAAATGAAAGTGACGTCCTTCGATCAACATCTGCCTTATCGGTTTTAAGTTTAAAAATAAACTACCACTTCTATATCATCACAGGAAGGAAAAGCTGCAAGTCAAGTGAAACCCAAACCCAAAACAAGTCTAAGAAGATTAGAAATGAAAAAGAAGAAGAAAAAATTGTGCGAAAGAAGAAGAATTTTTCTTTTTCGAAGTATTGTTATATTTATGTATCTATTTTATTTTTTCTTGTGAATTCACATAAACAAAATAGTAAAAAACAAAATAAAATAAAATAGAATGAAATAGATAGATAAATACCCAATCCTATTATGACAAACGTTGGTTTTCCAAAATATTAATATAGGAGTCGACATAACAGTAAAAAGAGAGGAACGCTCGATCTTACATAACAACTCAGGTCCATGCGAATTTGAGTGCAGTAGATTATAAAAAATGGTAAGATTACTGCATGCGACGAATCTGCAGAGTTTAAGTTGAAAAAAGATTTCCAATTTCGAGTGTTATATACTGCAGGAACCTATGCTGCACTCTTTCTATGGCCTGCATGTGGAAGTTATACAGAGGTAACCACACACAGGAACAATAATCCAGGTGTGGACGCACGAGGGAGCAGAACAGCAATCTGAGAGACGGAATACTCTGGAAGTTCACTGTACAACGCTTAATAAAGCCGAAAATCTGAAGTGATTTAAACACAATAGACGAAACATGGTGTGTGAAAGTCAATTTAATTTCGAGTTACATTCCAAGGTCCCTTATTTTCATGTTATAAGTATAATGTATGGGGTTTATATTAACTCAGTGGAGCGATGGGGAGGTAATCCAATTGTTTCGGCCTAGTGCCGGCCTAGCTGGTTTCTTCAATTTACGACCATGCTGTATAAAAAAAAATGAAAAAAATGTCGCACTTACTTTCGTCGAATCTTCGACCATTTTCGTGTGTTCGGCGATGAATCGGACGCAGAAACAGGATTTGTGTATTTCCGGCGGGCACCGGAAATGCGAGAAAGCGGGGTTCCGCATCAGCACCGGACTTTTCAGGCCGTCGTCGTCGGTAGCCGCCCCCGCCGTAGTCGACGTCGTCAGGTCCTCCGACGCTGCGGGCGTCGCCGACGGGACGACCGTCGGCCCGTGAATCTGGCAGGTACTGCCGAACGGGCCGCCGCCGTCTGCCAAACTGAAAAACCAACGTTGCCACGTCGTCAATTTGCGTTTGTTTCAACATGCGTGCGGGAATAAACGTCTCGAAGCCACAAAATGGCTACCGGAGCGCGCCCGTGTTATCATGTTTGTGGTTGAAATAATTATAAACGACCTTTATCCGCCCGCTGCCCGTTGACAAAACAAACTGTAAAACTGTTAAATCCTTACTGAAACTAAGGAAAAGGAAAAAGGAAGCGGGAGCGAAGAGAGAGGGGAATGCATTCATTTTTATAGTGGAGTGGACAAAAGCTTAAGCTCGAGCAAAAAGAGGAATTCCACTTTGCCCCACCGACCCCTATAACGATGTACTGGAAAAGTCCATGTCAAAGTAGATAATGGAAAATCTCTTTTAGTTAGGAGTCTGGTTTATTTAATTGCAAAAATAAGTGACTTTAATGGGTAGTCACTTAAAAGAGTTAAATTTATTAAATATAATTAAAAGCTGTAAAAGTTCTGAAAGAATTCTTTTAAGAAAATAAAAAGGTGTTACCTATTTCGCGTACTTAAATAAAAATAAAAAATAAAATAAAAAATAAAAATAATTTACACGAGTACAGAGTATCCTGAATATATCGCAGAATTTATAAGTTTTTTTGTGTGCCGAAAAAACCGCATTCCTTCCTTTCTTGTTATTATTTTCTTTTTATTTATTTTTTTATTTTTGATGAAGTCGGCCAAGGAGATTTGGGCTTTTCCAATTTGGTGAAAAACGTGCGGACAGCTCGTATCGATCCCCGCGGTTCGACGTCCACACCCGATACCCAGACGTCGTCGTCTAATACGGTAAACAACTTCCAGAAGAGCTCCCCGTTCTCATAACTTCGCCGTTTTGCCCCAACTTTCGGCCTCTTTCGCTCTCCCACTGACAGCCCTCCGCGAAGTTGGGAAATTTGCCAGGAAACCTACCGGCAAGCCTCCCTCGGGAGAACAGTAACAGACGTACTTCCGGTTTAATGTTTAATGTACGGTTTTAGTGCCCTTACAGTTATATGTGCCGATGTTTTATTTACCCGTTTACGTCGACGTTTATTTGACTGTACCGTCAGCCGTCGTAAAAGTTATTTCGTTTATCGATAATGCCGCAGAAGTGAATAGCGTGGCGACGCGTATTGCATTTTCCCACGGAAAATGCACCGACACACCCGGAAAAAGAAATACTCGAAGCGATGCTTTCAGCGTTTTCGCCACCCCAGACGTTGGCAAACCCTTTGATCCTCGATATACAGCAGCGATTACAACAAACTTATCGTCTCTCGGCCGTTTCGGTGGATTTTCCGCTCAATAAGCTTACGTATACGGGATGCTTGCTATACAGGGCGTCACAAATCTGACTAAATTGGAATATACAGGGTTTTTCATGGTGAGTGTCCTATAAAGCCGGGTCCAGGCGGGTAACCGAACCTCTTACAATGTTTAGAGTATATTTTGGGGAGCCGATTTTAATTTCAGTTTGTTTTTGACGTCGGGAAGTAAACACTACGATATAGAAGCAGCTGCTGCGGCATATATTTACGTGCATTTTGCTTTAAAAAAAATAAGAAGAAAAGATAAAGGCGCTGGTGGTAAATGCATTATCTTTCGAACAGGGATCAACAAAGTTTACTAGCAATATGAGAAAGGCTATTTCAAATTGAACTTCGGTTTCTATAAGTTTGAGGACATTGGATTTAACACGGGGAAAAACATTATTACGACGAATGGCAGATTTCAGTTTGTTGCCAAACATGTTCAATGGGATTAAATATACAGTGGTAACGTGGAAGGAAGCCTTTAAAAAACCAAAGAATATTAAACACAGGTAGGTATGAAATTGTTTTCTATTACGGACCACAATTTTACCTGAAACTTTAGATAATAATCATTGTATGTGAATGACCACCCTTGGATAATCCCATTCAAAAGCAATTGGTCACTTTCTTATATCTATGAACAGATCATACTACATTTTATTCATATCACCCAATATATTGTTCCATTTTCATTACTTAAAAGAAAACTTGTACTTGAACAAAATCTATGCAAGTTCAAAGATAAAACTAACTAACTGAAATAAAGATTTTTGAGAAATATCCAAATGAACTATAATAACAATGCAGACCTAAGGCACCTAATAGGACCACTGAGAAACTTTTGCCGTGATACTACGGTCTTACAGTCTTACACAAAGTGAAATAAATCTTTAAGAAAACGCTATCCTCAAATCAGATTTAGATCTTAATAAAAATGTGCCATTATTTGTATACCAGTATAGATCAGTGGTATCAGTTGAGGTAGGTTTCGCTATTAATAGTATAACCGAGAAAAATTACCTCGGCGCCATTTCTTCTTTGGAAGGCGTTCTGCTTGATGCGAACCTCCTCTTTGGGCTGACGTCGGTCCTCCGCACGGTGGTGTGGTAGGGGTAGATGCACGACGTCGAGATGTTGGCAGCGCTGGTAGTCAGAAACCGATTCGCCAGAAATTTCCTGGAACGATCCGGAGTCGGCGAATGCAATTAGTATTGTTTTGAACGCTCACGTGTTGGTTTCGAAGCAGTATTGAGGGCGTTTCATCACCAGTATCCGCGGGAGGAAGTTTATGAAGACCCGTTTCACCCACGGCGACATCTTGTGGGTTTGAGGCGAGCGAAAGTGAACGTTGAGCACCACCACGGTGACGCATATGCTGGAAATTGAATTGGAAGTGTTGTACTATTGAACACGTATTTAATTTGATTACAATACGGAGTCAAGTCAGGTATAATACGACCAAAAATATAGTACATTTATTGCTTTAGCGTTTTAAGTAATTTACAGTACATTAACCGCAGATCTTCGCAGGACCGTGGTAAAACCCATCCCAATAAATGTCTATTCTGATTACGTAGGTCATGCCTGAGATGGACCGTAACGAATATTTGTAGAAACTTGAAATTTTTATTTGAAACGTAAAAGGACCATTTTAAATTTGATTAAGGAGTAATAAACAGTAGACAAGGTTAATCACGTCGGTAGTAAAAGCACTATATTTCTGGGTGAAGTATACAAATTCGTCTTCTCAATAGACCGGTTTATTGTTGCATGTATATCGAAAATACCTACAATTTTCGGAGAAGACACTACTTCTGAGCAAGTTCTTAGCGAAGTTCTAGAGTATTTTACAAAATCAGAGAGCCATTCTTTACTATTGTGACTACAAATAGGATAAATAGTTATCACGTATATTGGCGTATATTAAGTATGGTGTGACTTCACAGAATGTATGATGAGTATGAAAAGGAGTAGACGTACGATTTGCGTACAGAGGTCTTTATGTATAAAAACATTCTTGAAGATGATATTGCGATACATGGTTGCCAATGACTTGAGAAAGGACAAAGCGGAAATAATAGGCAACGTGATTTGTTGTTAATTTTCAAGGTTTTGGGTGGGTTGCCTGAGGAATACTTTTCCTATCAATATAGTTGGTGTTGGATGTTGGTTTTTCGGAGAAAGCACTGGTGATAATTTAACGAAAGAGCGCTTGACTCTACCATGTTAAAAAATCTAATAATCTTCACCATCGACAGGTTAAAGGACGTAGTTTAAAAGGAAGAAGACATCTGAATGTTGACAGATTAGATCAGAAATTTCTCTCGTAAACCGAGCTTTTTAAAATTACCGCTAGGGGCGCCTGACGTTTAAAGTTGACATTTTCATATGAGCGTCATTTTCACCTGTTTCCACCAATTTCTTGGGTTTTATAAAAGTACCAGATTTGGTGTCAATGTAAATATATAAATTTTTAATATTGATTGGCGCTCCACCGAGATAGGAAACTGGGATTGCTATAAAAGTAGTGACGGAAATTTTGACACAAGACGTAGGTTGAAGTAATCCGTTCAAACCGATTAGTTTCATTTCATGGTGACAATTTCGTTTTAATTCGCTTTCCGATCCGACGCGAAACTTATCTCTGTCTAGTTTTCGCGGTTCGTAGCTTCTTCGGTTAATACGTGTGAGGGCGCGTCTGCATGTATGTGTGCGGGTGTCTCATTTGGAATGCACTTAATTGGAATTTGGAATCGCAATTAACGCTGGCGCGTTCATGATATCCGAGGCAATCGCGCCAGAATGAAGATAAATTATAAAACGCGACTCACTGATATCGTTTAGTTTAGGGTGGCCTAAATTGGACTCCTTCAAATGGAAATTCCCCTTTTATATTTAAGCCCCTGTATTCAAAACCAATTTTAGAATATTTTGAAAATAAGGAAAATATTTGGAAGTTTACGTATATGACAATTAAAACTGTAAATCACATCTTACATGCTAAAGGGATCGATCTGCGCATAATGGAAGCAAATAAAAATTACAACGCGGAGCGAAGCGTAGTTGGCTACGACGCATCTGCCATGTATAATTTGTAATTTGGAGGAATTTGAGGAGGAAATGCATACCACGCGCATGGTGATTTGCGTTGTGGTAGTGTGAGACTCTCCGAAGTTTCGGAATACCCACTAAAACCTCCTTGATAGTGCCTTTTTTGTTTTTGCGCTTTCCACCATCTTTGGAAATTTGGATCTAGCGCACAGCTGTGTTGGGCGGTATCAACCTCGGAGTAGGATATGCAGCGGTCCGTGTGGTCTTTACCAAAGCTTTTACCGAAAACTCCTTGCGCTCTTAGAGCTTGTGGTAAGTAGTAATCTGTACTACGATGTTTGTAATCTAGTCACATTTTCAGGTTCGGTCCATTGGGACTTTAGAGTCTCGTTTTGCGACCTTTGTTGTCCAGTGCATTTTCACGTGCCGTAGCCTTTTTTTGTTTTGTTTTGTTGGTCTCCGTACTCCTGCAACGACCTGTAGTGTATTTGTATTTCTTCACTCCAGACCGGAGTACCATACAGAATAATGTTGTGCATAGCACTGCACAGTACTGCTTTTTTCGCTCTTGGGTCCCCTTACGTTACGCACAATTCTGGGTAAGCTCGATATTTTTGCTTCTGCTTTCGCAGTTACACAGTCAATATGTTTTCTGAAACCTCCTCTGCCTGGTTATGCCTAAGTGTTTCACTGTTTTGGAAGGGATCACTCTCGCTCCTTCCAAGTTGATGGCTATGTGATCTCGCTTACGTCTTCCAGCCCAAAATGACTGCCTCTATCTTGTCTGGTGCTAGGATGAGTTTGTGCATCCCTTGTTAGTTCTAAGTTTAATACGCCGTCATATAAGACGTTCCACAACGTCGGCCCCAAGACAGAACCCTGCGGAATCCCGGCCTCGTCATCCATGATTTCATTTGTATCGATAAGTATTTTTCTGTTTTTGAGATAGCTTAGTATGATGTTCACAAGATATTTTCATGTTCTCTTTTTTTTGGTTCTTGGATGATTAGTCCGTGGTTGGCCGATTTCAATGCATTCTTATCATCAATTGAGAAGGCACCACTTGTTTTCGTACTCCTTCGCTGTTTCGATGATATTTTCTTGGGCTTGCAGCGTGGACTTGAATTTTGTAAATCCGTATTGTCGGGGATGTAGACCACCCAATTCCCTTTAGTTCCTTCTGGAGGCTATTTCTGATGAGTGTTTCCAACCGTTTGCTTAGCGTATTAAAAAATTTTTCGAAAGTATAAAAAAAGTCCTACGGGATCGCCGTTGGTACAGAAATCTTTTGGTACAGAATATTTTTTTGTCTATCCGTTCTCCGTTCTCGTCTTTTGGTTTTTCCTGAATAACTTTTTAACCCTCCACGAGGCACAAAAAATGGCCCTGATCCGATGCCGGTATCCATCTTTTTTCGCGATTTTCGACTGTTTTTTTTAATTTCAAATCTGTGTCTTAGATGTCAGTTTCTTTTACATGACAATATAGCCCATATAGCCAGCTTAAACTTTTGTATTTACGGTTTTTAAGTGTTGTACAGGGTGTTCACGATATTCCGTGCAATATTAAAAAACATAATAAGTGCTCCAAATTTGCAGCTACCGACTTCAGACTTGGGAGCGAAGTGGAAATATGGACCCGTATTTAGACTCTCACATACGCTGTTCGAAATATTTGAAAAAATTCAAGTGAAAATCACCATTGCATAGTTTCAGAAAACAAGCAGTTTTTTGAAAAATTCGGATACCAGGAAACTAAGGAGATCCAGGGCTATATCCCTCTATTTCGAACGTTGTTGCAATTATATACAGGGTGCGTCGTTTGTGGGCAAAAAATTCTAATAGATAATAGAAGTTTCCGCTTTTGTGGGTGAATTATTGGCGATACATGAAAAACTTTTAAAAATGTGATAACTTGATATGAACATTATCGTAAACTGTGCCGAGAGAAAGTTTAAGGTTTCGTACAAATTTTAATATTTACCGAAGTGTGCCGTATCTTTGAAGTTCGACGAGATGTGAAGGACACTTTATACAGGGTGTATTCACAATCAAATTACATCGATTTTGCGAATGTTCCATAGTGGTCCGCAGGAGCATGATAGATAAACAACGCGTCCCTCTAGGACAAGAATCCGCGAAGCGCCTTCTTTTTAAAATAATTAGCTGACGCTCACCGACGATTTTTCGAAAACAATCTTGTTAGTTCTGGTGGTTCGCCCGTCTTTAGGGTCAGAGCAATTTTATTATTATTATTATTAATATCGCGATAGGGAATCGGGAATCGAGAAATGTGAGATCTCTTTTATCTTGGTTTATAAATACGACTGCCGACGAGGAAATTCGTGAGGAATTTGCGAACTGACAGTTTACGGGTAATTTTATGCGAATACTCGATAAAATCGCGTGTAAACGGGCCGGAGGTATGACGGGGTGGCGTGTTGCGACTACAATTTTATCGCCATTAACATTCGGTTAACTCCCTAATCGGGGCGATTAAACGAAAAACGGAAAACAAGAGTTTTACGTACAAACATTGGTAAACAATTATTGGTAACGTGTAATTACAAGTTTTTGTTGGCTTGAAGGAAACCTCCTCGCATTTTACTCTGTACCTGCTTATATATTGATTTAGTAATGATTGGTGACAGGTACGGCCCTGAGTCGCGGTTGAGATTGGTATCTGTCTGTGTGCTGTAAACACAATGACCCTAATTTTCTATGAATGGGAGGTTGTTATTAGTTCCTAATTCAATGGTAAAACTTATGTTAGGGTGTATAGGGATCGAATGTCAATGAAAATATATTAGGGATTCTTGACCATGAGCCCAAATAACAAAAGCATCATCGACGTAGCATTTCCATAATTTTGCTTTTAGATGTAAGGTGTCGAGAGCTTTCTCCTCATAGATATATTCCCCATGACTGGTGATAGTGGAGAACCCATAGCTGTTCCCGACGTTTGATCAAAAATTTGTCTGTTATAAGAAAAATATGTTCCTCAAAAGCAATTTTTCACTTAAGATGAAAAAAAAGGTTTGGTTCCAAATTCTTGGATTTTAATATATATGAAATGATGTTGAGAATTGCAAGAATAGGAACTTTAGTGAAGAGGGAATGTAGGTCGAAACTAACCAGAATATCTTGTGTATCTCATGTCATGCTATCTATCAGTTTTCCCTGTAATTCCCTGATTTGTGAATCTTTGGGAATGAATTAGGATTACGATATCGGGATTAGATTATAGAGATTTTAGGGCAATGCGTTCAGGCTTTGCAATGTTGGATTTAGGAGGTTTTGATTTGATTTGCTTCACGATAGACTC